TTCCATAAGGAAGGAAGCAGGAATGAAGCAGAGCTGGGCAGTCTCACAGGCTGAGCAGGAGGAGGTAGCATCTTTTCATCCATAGCAGGGATGGGGAGGGCCGGAAAGGGAGAGTCCTGAGCACTTGTGACCTCATGTGTTTGGGTTTCTGTCACACTCAGACTCTGACTATAGCAGAGGTGGTAGGGTGGGGGAGGGCACGGCCACCTCACAACCAGCACACAGCAAGGTCCTTTCCCCTGACACTGGACTCCAAAGGGATCAACCAGATGCCTGGGGCTGGGCTCACTCCAGGAAGGAATTGGAGATTTGTCAGTAGAGGGGGCACAGGGTGTCTCCCAGCCCGGCACAGACCCACAAGATGGTTGTTTCCTTCCATCCTCCAGGCCTCAGCCACTGTCCCCAAGACTCAATGACCAGGGGTGAGAATCTGACCTGTCCCATTCGACAGCACCATATTCTGGCTGGGGCATCACAGATACAGTGACAAAGGCAATTGCCATGCTGATATGTTGAGGGGCTGGCTGCCCACCTGTTGCCCCAGCACTGTCTCCCCACCTCCAGTCCTGGACCCTCACAGGGTGGCTGGGAGTGTTTGTAAACACCCCTTCCTACAGTCAGGGTGGGGCGAGACAACTGCTCTTCCTCCCAACCAGACCCGACCCTGGGTCCAACTGAAAGAGGAAGACAGTTTCAGTCAGCCTGCTGTGAACATGGGGACAGGATGCCTGGCAAGTTTGACTGGACAAGCGGGAGGGCCACCTGTCTTCCAGATCAGCTGTGCCGGGCCAGGCAGGAAGGCCCTTGGGCCTCTCCGCAGGCAGGGCCAGGGGGAGGTGGCTCAGGTCAGGAATGCAGAGTTGTACTGGCCGGCAGCTCCTCACCCACAGTGGGTGTGGGAGGAAGAGCTATTAGAGCCCCAGGGAGACTCAGTGCCCTGCTGACTGCCAACCACCGCCCCCTCCAGCCACTGGAAGACTTAACACCAAAATGATCCCTGGGCACTCTGGGCGGGTGATGTGGCACTCCAAGGGAGGAGCTGAATGGGGCTGGTAATGGCTGTCTGTCTTCATCTTTTGCCTTAGGTTCTGGGGTGTGGTGGTGACAAACTTCCACACACAGTGATTCATTCACCCAGCTCTTGGTAAACAGCCGTGTATGTTCTGGTGTCCAGCTGCCTCGGCCCCTCACACTGTGACGGTCTTCTAGGTGCAGGCCTGAGGAGGGAACGGGGCTTCCTGTCAGAGTGAATCTCCTCTCCTTGTCCCACATGGCCTAGTGGTAGAGGCTTTTCGAGGCCCTGGATTCAATCTTCAGTATCTGCCAAGAAACAAAGGAGGGAAATAAAACACAAACCCCAAACTATATTGTCTTTTGCTTTTCGTTTAACAAGGCTTGTGTCACAGATAACACAAAGGTCTTATCAAGACCTCTCAGAGAAAGCTCTAGATC